CATTCGGTTGCAACTCCCATCACCGAGCCTTAGAAGGACACTAGATGTAGCTATTGTTTCAACATGAATGTCTGCCAAACACAATGAATGAAATGACACTACTTTTTGCAACTGTTTTAATTGATCTGAGCATAGGACATCCTTCTTCCCCACCCCTTGTCTGTTTCCCATGTTTTTCCAAGCTGGTGTTCTGTTTTTCCTGATCATGTTCGGTCGCCATTGAATTTGCTTCCCTCGACTGCCTGAAGGTGTGTTCTGCCAAATAAAAAAGCATGGGCTTCCTGATACTTCGGTTGCATGGATCATGAAGTTCTTGCTCCTATTGCGCATTTCCAGACTGAGTTATTACAGTCTGTCAAGGAGGAGGATGTTGATGTTTATGTTTCTGATCCAAAGCCAGGACCTTTCTGAATTCTTTGTAGCATGCAGTGCCCTTTGGAATATGTCATTTTTATTGCAGGCTCTGAATGATGGGAAGGGAGAGACATCTTCTTTTAACATGGGCAACATAGGATGATATTTTCCTGATAGGGTTGCCATGTGTCCGCCAATGCTCCCCTTATTCTCTAATTGTTCTTTCACTGCATCTCTTGATGCATTTTCCATTGCCATCTTGACTTTTTCTATGGTCTGGCAGTGTGATGTCCTTGAGACTTTAATGTCTTTTTTTATCATCCACAAATAGTCTTGCTTTGAGAGTAAGTACATCTGTGCAGTGTGATGTTTTTGCAAAATTATCTTTATTTATACCTCTTCCTCTTTCACAAAATGTGTATTCAATGTGTCTTACATTTTAAAACAGTACAGTATAACCAGTATGGCACAATAGTTTGAGCATTGGACTATAAGTGGATCTACACTGCCATATAATACAGTTTGAAACTCATGTTATACAGAATTATATAGAGCAGTGTTTCTCAGCTTTCCTAATGTCATGACCCCTTAATACAGTTCCTCATGTGGTGGTGACCCCCAACCATAACACTACTTTTGTTGCTACTTCATAACTGTAATTTTGCTACTGTTATGAATCGTAATGTAAATATCTGATATGCAGGATGTATCTTCATTCACTGGACCAAATTCACTGGACAAATACCCGCTACATCCAAATTTGAATACTGGTGGGTTCGGGTGGGGGGGTGCATTTTGTCTTTTTGGAGTTGTAATTCCTGGGATTTAAAGTTCATCTAAAACCAAAGAGGATTCTGAACTCCACCAGGGATGGAGTTGAACCGACCTTGGCACACAGAACTCCCATGACCAACAGAAAATACTGGAAGGGTTTGGTGGGTGGGCATTGACCTTGAATTTTGGAGTTGTAGTTCACCTACATCCAGAGAGCACTGTGTACTCAAATAATGATGGATCTGGACCAAACTTGACACAGATACTCAATATGCCCAAATATGAACACTGGTGGAGTTTGGGGGAAATAGATCTTGGTATTTTGGAGTTGTGTTGGCTGGGATTTATAATTCACCTACAATCAAAGAGCATCCTGAATCCCACCAATGATAGAATTGGGCCAAACTTCCCACACAGAACCCCCATGACCAGCAGAAAATACTGTGTTTTCTGATGGTCTTTGGCGCCCCTCTGACACCCTCTCACGACCCCCCCCCCAGGGGTCCCAACCCCCAGGTTGAGAAACACTGATATAGAGAATCATAAAATTTAGTTTTACTGCATTGAATGGTATGATATAGGTCTACACTGATCTCCAGATTCATAGCCTGGATCTTTACTGCCATATAATGTAGTTTCGATAGGGCAATAATCATGAAACTAGAGAAATCAAAGTTAAAAATGTACCCTCTCTGTATTTAGAAATGCGTTTCCACTATGGGTCTGTCTTGTCTGGAACATTTGTGGTTAGCACCTAAGAAACATGTGCAATCAACAACTTTCACAAGACAGTTCGTGCAGAAGGCTAAAAAGGCTAAAAAGCTGGCAAAGTGTCTATTGCCACATATGGGGTGAAGAGCTATGTGGGTCTTGTACTTTCGATTGTCAAGAGAATAGGGAGAAGGGTGGGGTAGAAATGTACGAAATAAAGAAACAACAGTTTAACCACATTAAACTGTGTTATATGGATCTACACCACGTATGGGCAAACCCGGCCTGGGATCCGGATATGACCCCTTGGGCTCTTTTTTCAGGCACTCCTCTCTCTCCTATCCTTCCTTCCTTCTCTCTTTCCTTCCTCCTTCCCTCCTTCCTTCCCTTCCTTTCTTCTCTACCTCCCTCTTTCTCACTCCCTCTTTCCTTCCCTTCCTTTCTTCCTTACCTCCCTCTTTCTCACTCCCTCCTTTCTTCCCTTCCTTTCTTCCCAACTCCCTCTTTCTCACTCCCTCCTTCCTACCCTTCCACCCTTTCATCCTTCCTTCCCTTCCTCCCTCCTTCCCTCTCTTTCTCCTTCTTTTCCTTCCTTCTCTTTTGTCTTTTCTTCCTTCTCTTTTTCCTCCCTCCCTCCATTCTCTTCCACCCTTCCTTCCATCCTTCTCTTCCTTCCTCCCTCCCTCCATCCTTCCCTTCCTTCCTTCCTTCCTTCCTTCCTTCCTTCCTTCCTTCTATTTTTCCATCCCCCTTTCCTCCTGGGGGATGTTTAGCTGGGAGAAGAGAAGAGAGAGAGAGGAAACATGAGAACCAGGTTTAAAGATTTAAAAGATTTAAAAGGATGTCCCATTAAGACGGAAGAGGAAAACTGACTTTCTGCTGTTCTAGAGACCAGGGCACAAGGAGCAGTGGGTTCAAATGGCTGGGAAAGAGACTTGACTGAAAAGATTAGGAAGAACTTCCTGAGAGTCGGAGCTGTTGGAGAGTGGCCTAGGCTGCCTGGGAGTGTGGTGGAGTCTCCTTCTCTGAAGGTTTTGCCGCAGAGGCTATCTTTCAGGGGTGCTTTGATTGTGCCTTCCTGCATGGCAGGGGGTTGGACTGGATGGTTCTTAGGGGTCTCTTCCAGCTCTAGGATTCCATATCAGGAGTAGGCAATACAGAGTCTAATGGATATACTTTTTCTCTCCCATCCACCGTCTAATCCTGTCAAAGGCTAACCATTTTGGGATCCAAATGTTTCCAATCTTCCCTTTCTGCCTCTGAAAGAGAAGGAGAAGGGGAGTAAAGGGTAGAGAGGGAACTTGGGGAAAAACCCTCCCTCTCGACTCACTCCAGCCCGCCATGCGGTCCCCAAGTTTAAAAGTTTGCCCATGTCTGAACTACATTAACCATATAATGCAGTTCCAAACTGCATATATGGCAGGTTAGATTCAGCCTATGACTCTGGAGACCAGGGTTCCGTTCCCTACTTGGCCATGGAAAACCCAGCGATAGGGGTTTGTTTGGGTTTTGTTGTTTGCTCTCTTGCTTATTTTCTTTTTCTTTACTTTGCTTATATACCAATAGTAAGTTTTTTTGCTTTGTTTGCAAACCAATAAAAGTTTGTTTAACATAAATACATACATAAAAACTTTATAGCAGCTCGAGGAAACATATACTTTCAGGATTGCTTACGAAGCCTGACTCTTCCTGCTGCAATTACATTGCACAGTTTCAAATGCAGCATAATAAACCCATTGTCTGTCTTCTTAAAATAATCTAGTGCGTGCTGGTTTCAGTGTTGGAAGCTGATATATGTGTGCGTGTGTTTTCTTGAGTCTTGCATCAGTTTTTAATATATCTTGCCAGTCATCCAATAAGCATTTCAACTAACCTGAGCAGTTTCATTATTTTAAATATTTCTGCATCACTTTCTTTGCTTTCATTTCCTGGCGCTATTCCCTTGTCCTTTTGTGTTGAAAACCTAAAGACATGGACTATCTTCACCTTTCTTATTGCATTGCAAGCTGCTGTAAAACTTCCAGAAAAGCAAAATAAAGTCAACGGTTTCCCTTCAACATTAAGTCTAGTCATGTTCAGCTCTGTGGGGTGGTGCTCATCTTCATTTCTAAGCCGAAGAGCTGGCATTATCCATAGTCACCTCCAAGGTCATGTGGTTGGCATGACTGCATGGAGCACTGTTACCTTCACGCCGGAGTGGTTCCTGTTGATTAAGTTTAAGATCTTCTGGGGAGGCACTGCTCTCAGCCCCACCTCTATCACAAGTGAGATTGGTGGGGACAAGGAGCAGGGCCTTCTCGGTGGTGGCCCCTCACCTGTGAAACTCACTCCCTGGGGAAATTAGGTCATCAACATCCCCCCTCTCCTTTAGAAGGAAATTAAAAACATGGATTTGGGACCAGGCCTTCGGGTAATCTGGCGGATAGATAAGGGACAAGCGACGACTAGAATTGATGGATGGGACAATGTGGAATTTGAATTTACGGACTCTGAGCTGATAAACGTTGAGCACTAGATTGTTTTTAGTGATTGTGATGTATAATGGATTGTTTTAATTGTTTTAATTACTGTTTATATGTTTTATTTTTTACCTTGTTGTTGTGCCGGCATCGAATTGTGCCTTTTTGTAAGCTGCCCTGAGTCCCCCCTCGGGGGTTGAGAAGGGCGGGGTAGAAGTGCGAGAAATAAATAAATAATAATACTCACATTTGCATGTTTTCGAACTGATGGGTTGACAGAAGCTGGGGCTAACAGCAGGAGCTCACCCACTCCCCGAATTCGAATCACTGACCTTTCGGTCAGCAAGTTCAGCAGCTCAGTGTTTTAACCCACTGTGTCACCTTCACTCCTTCCTGAAAAGCAAACCAATTCAAAATGAAAAGCAAACCAATTCAAAATATAATGTTTTCCATATAGAAAATAGTATCAGCATACAAAATACACATGAAGAGAAGGGTCAGCTTTTATATGTACTGTAAGACTTGTGTATTCACAAGGGACCTATTCCTGGCATTAATTGATGGCTGTATTTGTCATTATTTATGAAAGCATTCATCCACATCAATCTCTGATGGCCATATGCTTCAGGAGTCTCGGAAAAGTGTCCTGCTGGAGCTTGATAATAGTCCCAATCCTCAGTCTTCTTCCCTCTCTTGAAACAGGCATCACCGTAGATAAGCACGGCTTCGTTTACTTTGTGGATGGCACCATGATTCGGAAGATTGATGGGAACGGCCTGATCTCGACATTAATAGGCTCCAATGGGCTCACATCAACCCAACCCCTCAGCTGTGATGCAGGGATGGACATCACTCAGGTAGGCGCTTGCCTTTCCATATCTGGTCCCTGTTCAACATGGAAACCTATTTCCTTTTTTTTGTCTAGTGAAATTTGGCATGGAGAAACACCATTTGCATGTTGCAAAACATACTTCATAGGTTGCAGTAGAGCAGCGATGGCTAAAGCTTGCATTGAAATCAATAATAGAATAAAGAGAAAATGTGACCTTAGTATTCTTTGTATATAGTTACAGATATATGTGGCATCTTTATTTTTTCTAGGTCATGCTGCTGTTGTTTTTAGTAGTTTTACTACTATAGGTAAAGGTTTTCCCCTGACATTAAGTCCAGTCGTGTCCAACTCTGGGGTGTGGTGCTCATCTCCATTTCTAAGCCAAAGAGCTGGTGTTGTCCACAGACACCTCCAAGATCATGTGGCCGGCATGACTGCATGGAGCGCCGTTACTACTATACTCAGTTGTTTTTAGTAGTTTTACTACTATACTCATTTATGTCCTGTCTTTTCACTGAAAAATAAAATCCAAAGCATGTAACAAAACAATACAGAAGTGTTGCACCATAGCCTAGGTACACTTTTTTACATAGCACCACACAGAGTCCAGTAGTAATTAACTACAAAAGTTTATTTACAAAAAGCGCATACAAAAGGGGAAAATGGCATTTCCCAAAAAAGCAGTAAAGAAAGTGCTATGAAATAGCAATAGCCGACATATACAAAGATCAATAGTCCAAAATAGCAAGATACATGAAATCCAAGAAGTCAAGAACATAGGCATAAATCCATAAGCCTGAAAGTGGGAACTCTTCCAAGGTAAAACTCTATGAGGAACATAGGCAAACACAGGACACTTAATTCATGAACTTGAGACAGGAACTTGCATCTATGGCAATGTTGTCTGCTCTGAAGACACCAAGTAAACATCACTTAATTTAAGCACCAACCTGACCAAGAAGCCATGAGGTCATATCTTTGACACCTGCATTTCAAAGATTTCTCACTAAGAATCTATCCTTCACTCCCTCTGTGTGGAGGCCTAATCTGATATCACGGGAAACCTCCCCATCTGCTGAATCTTCCTCTGAAAGCCAATTCCCATGAGAAACAGACTTTTCCTCAATTGCTAAGGAACAAACATTGGAATCTCAAACAACCTCTGTCTCCTCTGCAACTGCCAGCACTTCTCTCTGATCTAAGGCCTGCATTTCACCCTGATTGCACACAGACTTCTCAGTGGGAAACCCATCATCCCCCCTCACCCTCTGAGCCTTGCTGCTGAGCCCCAGCAACAAGGGTCTCTGATTTCACAGAGGTTGGAGGCATAGAATCCCTGTAAAATTAAGAAAATAAACATTAAACGTTTTATAACCTGAAAGAATATAATTCTGGGAATCTCTAGGTCATTCAGGCTGAGTTTATGGTCAAGTTTTAGACCACAGAATCTGCAAAAGTGAAACAGTAAATGTGGAGGAATGACTACTCATATGCTCATGATATTATCAAAACTTGGCTGTAGATAAAAAGTCTTCCAAAGTTCAATAAATCAAACCAACAGGAAAGACTACTCATATGAGAACCTCAGCATTACATGTAAAAATGAATGTATACATGTATAGAGAGATAGCAACACCAACTCATCTCCCAAAATATGTCTTCCTCCAGGTGGATAGACTTCACAAATGAAGCCACGGCCTTGCATTTGCAATGGGTGGTGAATAACTGGATGACATGGAGGTTTCATATTCTTCTAAATGCCATAAACTGAAGTCAATGCAACTGCAGTTAAGGAGTGGACAACCTATGGTCCTCCAGGTGTTGCTGGACTCCAAATCCTATCAAAGCCCTTGGAATCCAACAAGGTCTGGAAGACCACCGATTGCCCACCTATGCTTCAGAGGTGGGGGGGGGATTTGTGTCAGGAGCAACTTGAGAAATTGCAAGTTGTTTCTGGTGTGAGAGAATTGGCAGTCTGCAAGGGGATGCCCCAAAGTGTTACCATCCTGTGGGAGGCTTCCCCCATGTCCTTGCATGGGAAGCTAGAGCTGACAGACAGGAGCTCACCCCACTCCCCAAATTTGAACAGCTGACCTTTTGGCCAGCAGTCCTACTGGCACAAGGGTTTAACCTATTGGTCCTACTACCATCGGTGGTTGTATGCAATATAGTGGCTATTGTATTACTATTACGGGTTACAGAATAAGCATTCCGGTCAAAATGTGTACTCCTTTTAGCCTTTTGCCTCTCTCCAAGACTCTTAAAACACAGTGTTTCCCCCACTCAGTTTGCATTTAAAACCCAAATAAACCCAGGCGCACAAAAGAGCCTATTAATAAGCGAAACTTTATAGAAACATTACAGAAAGCATAATGGTCAGTCGGCTGTGGCTCCCGGATAAAGGAAGGGGCAGGACCGTTCTAAGGCATCGGGGCTGTGAAGTGCTTAAACTACCACAGTTAATGACTCCCCGGCGTTGTGTTAAAAGGGGCTTTTTATTTTAAGACAAAAAGGACGTCAAGTTTGCAGCCTGGAGCCAGCGCTGGATTCATCACTGCGCCTAAAGGCCTGGCTTGAGACACGTAACCGCAGTGCCTTATGCTTTAAAAGAAGGGCTGCATGAAAAGGAGGAGAATTCAAGCAAGGAGAAGAAGTTGTTGAATCCTTCTCCTTTTCTTCCCTACTCCTCTGCCCCAAATGATTGTGTTAGAAAATTTAAAATTATATCAATTTCACAAGGACAGTCTCGATTAATACCCTGCCACTCCACTTTTTCAGCTCGTTTTAAAATGCTCCTAGTCCCATCTATAGTGCTACATAAAATCCAGATTATCAGCTTTGAACTAAATTGTATGGCAGTGAAGACTCATATAATCCAGTTCAAAGCAGATAATCTGGATTATCTGCTTTGATAATCTGGATTATAAGGCAGTGTAGATCCAGCCCCTCTTCCTCTTTCCTGCCAACACCAGCTTCATTATTATTATTATTATTATTATTATTGACACAAAACCACGGTATGTCACAGCAAACGAGATCTATATGCTGGATTTCGTATCACAAAATCACAAGTCAAACACTTCCCAAGCATCTAGGACTGTGTGATGTATTTTCAAATGATGATGATGATGATGATTATTATTATTATTATTATTTGAAACACAACAAGATGAGTCCGCAGCAGACACTCTGCTGGCTGTTGTATTGGATCACATGTCAGACACTTCCCAAGTGTCTAGGACTGTGTGATGTATCGGCGAATAATGCGTGCAGATCCCAGTAAGGTGGCCTTCTGCAGCTGGCAGATGGTAATTTTGTCAGCGCCGATTGTGTTTAGGTGCAGGCCAAGGTCTTTAGGCACTGCACCCAGTGTGCCGATCACCACTGGGACCACCTTGACTGGCTTGTGCCAGAGTCTTTGCAGTTCGATCTTTAAATCCTCATATCATGTCATCTTTTCCAGTTGTTTCTCTTCAATCCTGCTGTTGCCTCGGATTGCAACATCAATTATCCATACTTTGTTTTTTTAATACAATTGTGAGGTCAGGAGTATTGTGCTCCAAAACTCTGTCTGTCTGAATTCGGAAGTCCCAGAGGAGTTTGACGTGTTCATTCTCTGTAATTCCAGCTTGTGATCCCACCAGTTAATTGTCACAGGCAGATGGTATTTGTGGCACAAGTTCCAATGAATCATCTGAGCAATGGTGTTGTGCCTCTGTTTGTAGTCTGTCTGCGTGATCTTCTTGCAGCAGCTGAGGATGTGATCTATTGTTTCATCTGCTTCCTTGCAGAGTCTACATTTGGGATCTGTCATGACTTTTCAATTCTGGCTTTGATGGCATTGGTTCTAATGGCTTGTTTTGGGCTGCCAGAATCAGGCCCTCCGTCTCCTTTTTCAAAGTTCTAATAATAATAATAATAACAACAACAACAACAACAACAACAACACTTTATTTATATTCCACCCTTTTCCCCATGGGAACACAGAGCAGATTACAATGTAAACAGATACTAGCAAACATTCAATGCCTTGTTACAATACAATGAGACACACAAATACCAACGAAGGCAGAGGCTTCTCCTTTTCCTAGTTACAACAGACCTCACTACCTCTGAGGATGCTTGCCATAGATGCAGGCAAAATGTCAGGAGAGAATGCCTCTAGAACATGGCCATATGGCCTGAAAAAGCCTACTACAACCCATCTTCTCCTTTCATTTCTGGCTTTGGAGGTGGTGCTCATCTCTGGCTCAGTGAGAGGTGCTGTTCTCCATTTCCAAGCCAAGGAGCCTGTGTTGTCACCTCCTGGTCGTGTGACTGGCATGACTGCTTGGAACGTCTTATGCCTTTCCCGCCAAAGCGGTGCCTATTGATATACTCATATTTGCATGTTTTCAAACTGCTAGGTTGGTAGGAGCTGAGCTAAAAGCAGGAACTCGCCCTGTCCATTCAGGTCAGCAGTTCAGCAGCACAAGAGTTTAACCCATTGCACCACCATGGTCCAATGACTCCTATTGACTCCTATGCAACTAAAGATTATTTATTATTTAGGGAAGTTTTGATTTGTCATTTGGAGTACAATGGCCTTATAGGGTGTTACAGAAAAATAAAAAAGAAAACACATTTACTTCACTAAAAATATCAACGTCACAGTAAATGCATAATCAAACCGTTGATTAAAATCAGTTAAGGCACAAAGCACGTTGGAAGGTATGCCCTTTATGCTCGTGAGATATTCTAAATGTGATGGCATAGAAATTAAATTGAAAAAACTGGAAATTGGGCAAAGGAATCATTTCCAGCCCTATAAGTTTGGTGACATGATTAGCCAGATGCCCAGGATTTTTCTATTGTAGGCCAAAACAACATGCAAAAAGCAGGAAATTAGTATAATAATCAACAGAAAGGAGCCCCCGGTGGTGCAGTGGGTTAAACTGCTGAACTTGCTAACCGAAAGGTGTGAGCTCCTGCTGTTAGCCCCAGCTTCTGCCAACCTAGCAGTTCGAAAACACGGAAATGTGAGTATATCAATAGGTACCACTCTGGCGGGAAGGTAACGGTGCTCCATGTAGTCATGCTGGCCACATGACCTTGGAGGTGTCTACAGATTCTTTGGCTTAGAAATGGAGATGAGCACCACCACCAGAGTCAGACACCACTTGACTTAATGTCAGGGGAAATCCTTTACGAACTACTGGGGACTTTAAGATCATCTGGGGAGGCCCTGCTCTCAGTCCCGCCTTCATCACAAGCACGTTTGGCGGGGACGAGAGACAGGGCCTTCTCAGTGGTGGCCCCTCGGCTATGGAATGCCCTCCCTAGGGAGATCAGATCTGCTCCCTCCCTCTTGACGTTTCGGAGGCAAGTTAAAACGTGGCTATTTGAGCAAGCGTTTACAAATACAGAGTAGCTAATATAGGAAATCGAATGACCTGACAATGGAATTGGACAATGCTTGAGAATAATGAGAATGCTGATGATGTTGCTTTTATTGCTTTTGTGATGTCTTATACTGTTTAATGTTTTTTATCTATTATGTTTTATGTATACTGATTTGTTGGAAACCGCCTTGAGTCGCCAATTGGCTGAGAAAGGCGGTATACAAATACAGTAAATAAATAATAAATACTTTACCATACCTAATCAACAGAAAGTATTGTCGGTGCTGTCGAAATAAAGAGCATCCATATTAAGAGATTTAGGAGTGACCAGGGAAGAAAAGGAAGGAAGCTGCACATTTTTTCATTTTGCGTTGAGCTCACAGTCACAGAAAGTTGGGAGCAATTGAATCGGTTCAACTTGCAGCCCTGGCTCCATTGCATTTGTATTTCTTCAAGTCATTTGGTCCATCCTTTCTTTAAAAAAACAACAACAACAACCCTTGGCAGCTTGGGAGCTCTTAGCATCAGGCCATTAGTGTAGTAATCAACAGGAAGTATTGTCGCTGCTGTCTAAATAAAGAGCATCCATTGTAGGACAGCAAGCGATAAAGGTGGAACATGGTTCCTTAAATGGGAACATGCCATGCCACTTTGCTGATCAATACCTGTAAAAGAGTACTACTGTCTTTCTGGACTCCAAATTGCTACAGGATCTAAAAGCAGGCATTAAGCTTTCCAAAGGCACCCAAAACAGGATGGCAGAATTAGCAACCTTCAGCAAGTTGTGAAAAAGGAAAAGTTCAGAAAAAGACGGGACTAGAGCTGTGGTTCTCAACCTGTGGGTCCCCAGGTGTTTTGGCCTACAACTCCCAGAAATCCCAGCCAGTTTACCAGCTGTTAGGATTTCTGGGGGTTGAAGGCCAAAACATCTGGGGACCCACAGGTTGAGAACCACTGGACTAGAGTTATTGGTTCCAGTGTGAATAAGTATAACTCCATAAAATATTCCCTCCTCCAAGTGTTTGTGAGCATCTCTAGGATGTTTATTTATTTTTATTTATTTAGGTAAAGGTAAAGGTTTTCCCCTGACATGAAGTCCAGTCGTGTCTGACTCTGGGGTGTGGTGCTGCTCATCTCCTGCGTTGTCCACCAAAGTCATGTGGCCTGCATAAATACAGTTAAAACTTGTGCGCCAGCTGCGCCCGTACCTTGGGAAGTTTGACTTGGCCATGGTAGTCCATGCTCTGGTTACATCCCGTATAGACTACTGCAATGCTCTCTACGTGGGGTTGCCTTTGAAGACTGCTCGGAAGCTTCAAATGGTCCAGCGCTCGGCAGCCAGGTTGCTAACAGGAGCGGCACTCAGGGAGCATACAACTCCTCTGTTGCACCAGCTCCACTGGCTGCCAGTTTGCTACCGGGCACAATTCAAAGTCCTTAGCCTATAAAGCTCTAAATGGTTCTGGCCCAACTTACCTGTCCAAACGTATCTCCTCTTATGAACCAGTTAGGACGTTAAGATCATCTGGGGAGGCCCTGCTCTCAGTCCCGCCTGCATCACAAGTACGGTTGGCGGGGACGAGAGACAGGGCCTTCTCAGTGGTGGCCCCTCGGCTGTGGAACGCCCTTCCCACAGAAATTAGATCGGCCCCCTCCCTGTTCACATTTTGGAGGAAAGTGAAGACCTGGTTGTTTGAGCAGGCATTTGAATAGGCAGTGTAACTAATATAGAAATATGGAACATTTGGATGATGAGACTGGATCTTGATTTTAACTATGAGACGAGATGAGATGTTATGATGTTTATTGATTGTAAAGTTATTATTTTAACTTATTTTTAACTGTTTTTATCATGTTTAAGTATTGTATTTGCTTTGTTAACTGCTCTGAGTCGCCCTGAGGGCTGAGAAGAGCGGTATACAAATATAGTAAGTAAATAAATAAATAAATTTACTGTATTTATATACCGCTTTTCTCAACCCAGGGGTTACTCAAAGAGGTTTACAACAAATAATGGCATAATTCAATGCCTCACATACATATGAAACCAAATCACAAATCTAAACAAAGCATATAACTGTGCATCAAAATCAATAAGACAATTAAACATAAGCTAAAACAACATTTAGACATGAGGACACATAAAAATTAATTTTAATAAACATTAAAATCGCATGATCCAAACTCGTAGACTGGGGCCATTCCAAATATCGATTGCACATATTCCATTTTTATTTATTGTACTGTGTTACTTTACTAATCAAAAGCTTGGTTCCATAAACATGCCTTTGTTTTCGTTCTGAAGGCTAGGAGGGGGACAATGATCTAATATCACTGGGGAGAGAATTCCAGAGCTGAGGAGCCACCACTGAGAAGGCCCCGTCTCTCATTTCCACCAACCGCACTTGCTAAGCAGGTGGGACCGAGAGCAAGACCTCCCCAGAAGATCTTAACTTCTGTGAATTAGTTCAGTACAATTCTATACCCAGATATAATCCAAACATAGGGTTCACTAGGTTCTTGTGGGTTTTTTCGGGCTATAGAGCCATGTTCTACAGGCATTTCTCCTGACGTTTCGCCTGCATCTATGGCAAGCATCCTCAGAGGTAGTGAGGTAGTAGGGTTCACTACTATTATCCATGGTTTCAGGTATCCACAGTGAGCTTGGAGCATCTCCCCTGTAGATACGAGGGGCCATGCTATATAGCTAAAATAATTTCTTACTTTATCTATGACATTGCATTATGGAGGCATGTGGTTATAAAAGTGTTAGCATTTTATAGTCAGGGCTGTATATAAGCTACAATTAGTTGTTATGTGCCTTTGAGCCTGGATCAGCACTGCCCTAGGAAATTGGGGAGACCACCTTGAAAGAAAGGCAGGCTATAAGAAGCAGAGGGAGCACCTTATAATGAATCATATCATTGGTCCATTTAGTCCAAGATTGATTACATGGTTTTGTTGTTGTTTTGTTGTTGTTTTTGTCGTGTCAGGAGCGACTAGAAACTGCAAGTCGCTTCTGGTGTGAGAGAATTAGCTGTCTGCAAGGACGCTGCCTAGGGGGCACCTGGATATTTTGATGTTTTATCATCCTTGTGGGAGGCTTCTCTCATGTCCCTGCATGAGGAGCTGGAGCTGATAGAGGGAGCTCATCCGTGCTCTCTCTGGATTCGAACCTGCAATCTGCCGGTCTTCAGTCCTGCCGGCACAGGGGTTTAACCCACTGTGCCACGGGAGGCTCTGATTACATAGTGGCACTCCACTATTTCAGACAAGATTCTTCCTCCCAACAAAGGAACTACATTTGTTTGTCCTTCTCTTGTTTTGCAGGTCCGCCTAGAATGGCCAACAGACCTTGCTGTCAACCCTCTGGACAATTCGTTGTATGTGCTGGACAATAACATTGTGCTACAAATTTCTGAAAACAGAAGGGTGAGAATTATTGCTGGCCGCCCCATCCACTGCCAGGTGCCTGGCATCGATCATGTTTTGGTCAGCAAGGTGGCCATCCATTCCACCTTGGAGTCCGCCAGGGCCATCAGCGTGTCTCACAGCGGCATGCTGTACATCGCGGAGACGGACGAGCGCAAGATCAATCGCATCCAGCAGGTCACCACCAACGGCGAGATCTCAATCATAGCCGGAGCACCGACAGACTGCGACTGCAAAATTGACCCCAATTGTGACTGCTTCTCAGGTACATCGGTTTCCATATATCATGTGAGCAGAGTTGTACAGAGCAGCATAAGGGCAGCAGGCTTGATCAGAACAATAGTACATTCAGTCCTTTCCAAGGCAGTGTACTATAGGTCCTATCATCCTTATCAAACTTGGCTCATTGAACTGAAGTTCAAAATGTGGACTGGTCTAGCCAAAGATTTTATTTTTGTAATAACTGATTGAAGTAGACCTACATCGGGCATTTTGGCTTGCCTAAAGGGATGCGGTGTCACTTCTGGCTGCCATTTTGACCATTTTATTTTGGTAGTTTCTGCAGTTTTAGAAGAGATTTTGAGAATGTACTTAAATTCTGGAAATAATTTAAATTTTATTTATTTATTTATTTATTTATTTATTTATTGTCCACATGCTTGTGGATTTCAATGGCTTCTCTGTGTAGTCTGACATGGTGGTTGTTGGTGTGGTCCAGCATTTCTGTGTTCTCAAATAATATTCTGTGTCCAGGCTGGTTCATCAGGTGCTCTGCTATGGCTGACTTCTCTGGTTGAAGTAGTCTGCAGTGCCTTTCATGTTCCTTGATTCAGACTACACAGAGAAACCATTGAAATCCACAAGCATGTGGACAATTTCAACAGAAAGGAAAAGACCATGAAAATGAACAAAATCTGGCTACCAGTATTAAAAAACTCTAAAATTACAACAGCCAAACAGCAGAGAGGAAACAACCAGGCACATCTTAACACCTCTCAACAAAAGATTTTCCCAGGCTCAGCCAGGCCTTCAAATGCTAATGAAGGTGGTCAGTTGAAACATTCACACCTAGCTCCAGCAGAGAAGAGCTCTTTGCCCCACCCCAGCCATTCCACAGATATATAAACCCATTGTCCTATTTCCAACAGACCTCACTACCTCTGAGGATGCTTGCCATAGATGCAGGCGAAACGTCAGGAGAAAATGCCTCTAGAACATGGCCGTATAGCCCGAAAAAACCCACAAGAACCTATTAAGATAATTAAAATTAAAAACATTAAGATAATGCATATAAAAACCATAGCATAGTCAATAAAAACATATATCATAGCACAGTCAATAAAAACATATATCTAACCATTCTAACTTTTCGAAACTTCCGAGACTTCCTAATCCTTTCTTAATGGTTTGAAAGTGTTATTTCCTGTTTCATTGGGTGGTCTTTACTTTGAAAGTAGTTGTTTTACTCCAGAAAAGTGGGGGGAGCAAAGGAAATTCATCAAGTCTGGTTTAAAATGGCTTCCCAGGCTTGAGACAGAAGTGGGGGAGAGGAAAGGGAGGAAATTCATCCACTCTGGTTTAAAACGGCTTCTCTGGCTTGAGCTGAGGCCAGGGACCAGAAACAGGGAAAAGCTAAATCATTTCTCACTCACTTACTCCTTCGTAACAGAAATGAAAGAAAAACTTCAGAAGGACAAAGTGACTTCTGGTTTCCTTAAAAACTTTGAAATTGCTTCAAAAAGCAAAACTTTCCGAATTTATTCCAAATTACGAAGATTCCGACCGAACCTAACCACGCCTATTATCTAATGGCGCTTTGGTGTTCCTATCCTCAATTAAATCAGTCTAATTTTTTACAAATCCATCCTAAGCAGTGTCCCTCTTTATTCTGTCTTGAGGTAGAGAATTCTACAAGTTAATTATGCACTGCATGAAGAAGTAATTGCTTCTGGCCGCCCAGAACACATTGCAAATCAACTTTATTGGCTTTCAGCTTTTAAAAGGCATGCATAAATATTGGCTTTAAAAGTTGGCAAGTGAGTTTAGCCTGCCCTCTTGAGCCACGATGGCTCAGTCATCTTGAGGTGAAAAGCTTCAATAAGCAGCACAGGGAGGCAAAAAGCTGCCTGTTTTTTTTATTTTCAGTTGTAAATGCTAATCTTATATTTGCTTCTCAATGACAAATGCTCAATGCCGACTGTTTTGGGAATCTGCCTCATAATGAGTCACACCAACATCTTTGGGTTCATCTACACTGTAGAATGAATGTAGTTTGACGTTATCTTAACTGCCATGTCTCAATGCAATGGAACCACGAGACTGGCATTAATTATACAGTGTAGGTCAGTGGTTCCCAACCTGTGATCCGTGGATCACCAATGGTCCACCAGAATGAAAATATGGTCCACGGCCTCACCATTATTACACCTTTGTCCTCAAAACCACACTGCAAAGGGAGTGACTGGTCTTGCAAAACTCTCTTATAGTGTCGAGGCAATGGGGATGTCTGGACGGGAAAGGCTGACTACACACGAAAGATTACTATTACCACATCAGCTCTAGATATGGTTTTCTGTGGGCAAGCAGATGGCGACTACTGGATGGAATATGTTCTGTATCAGAAACTAGAGCTGATGTGGTCTATCCAATGCAATTTTCTGAATTAGCACCCCAAATAACCAAACCAAATCTAAATCAGTACTAATGTTGGAGCGTGTTCCCTGGTCAAGTGGTCCCTGGTCAAAAAAAGGTTGGGAAGCACTGGTGTAGTTACTCACTTAGGCAATCCCTCATAGCTCGAGAATGATGGCTTTCCAAATGTGGTGTCGTGGCAGTGGATTCATAGGTGGCTGTGGAGCCCTATTCTCGATCTACATGTTCTCCCACAGCGTTTCCAGACAGAAGGCGGTCCCGGTCAAGGTTAGCTTCATGTGCCTTCTTCTTAGTACGTTTCTCTCTTTCACCCTCCATTTGTGCCTCTTTCAATTCTGCAGCACTGCTGGTCACAGCTGACCTCCAGTTAGTCCACTTAAGGTATAGATGCACCCATGGACAGGTGCACTTGTCTGCAATGCAGCTGTTAAAGCAGTGGTTTCCAGCCTGTGTGCTGTGGCCCACCAGTGGGCTGCAAGAATGAAAATATGGTCCGTGAACCTCATTCCTCTTTACATTTATTTATTTATTTTTATCTCCACTCCTTTCTACAGAGCTGACCAGCCCCATCCCTTTTAGTACTAATGTTGGAGAGCAGTCACTGGTCAAAATGGTCCCTGGTCAAAATGGCCCGTGGTCAAAGTGGTCCCTGGTCAAAGTGGTGCCTGGTCAAAGTGGTCCCTGGTCAAAGTGGTCCTGGTCAAAGTGGTCCCTGGTCAAAGTGGTCCCTGGTCAAAGTGGTCCCTGGTCAAAGTGGTCCCTGGTCAAATGGTCCCTGGTCAAAGTGGCTGGTCAAAGTGGTCCCTGTTCAAATGGTCCTGAGTGGTCCCTGTCAAAGTGGTCCCAGGTCAAAGTGATCCCTGGTCAAAGGTCCCTGGTCAAAGTGGTCCCTGGTCAAGTGGTCCCTGGTCAAAGTGGTCCCTGGTGATATGGTCCCTGGTCAAGTGGTCCCTGGTCAAGGTGGTCCCTGGTCAAAGTGGTCCCTGGTCAAGTGGTCCCTGGTCAAAGTGGTCCCTGGTCAAAGTGGTCCCTGGTCAAAGTGGCCCTGGTCAAGTGGTCCCTGGTCAAAGTGGTCCCTGGTCAAAGTGGTCCCTGGTCAAGTGGTCCCTCGTCAAAATGGTCCATAGTCAAAGTGGTCCCAGGTCAAAGTGATCCCTGGTCAAAGGGGTTCCTGGTCAAAGTGGGCCCTGGTCAAAGTGGTCCCTGGTCAAAAGGGTCCTTGGTCAAAGTGGTCCCCGCTTCAGTAGTCCCTGGTCAAAGTGGGCTCTGGTCAAAAAAGGTCGGGAACCACTGTGCTAAACAGATAAAGAGTCTAAGGATGTCACCCTTAAAAATAGATTTTATATCCAGAGCCCTCTAAGTGAAGAATTTTTTTCACTTTTTGTTGCTCCTCATCATTATTTTTGCATAATCTCAAAACCTTTCCAGCTTGCATGTGGAAAAAATGTAAATTTCATTAAATTCTGATTTTGAAGGATCTAAAGCAAAAAAAAGAGAGAGAGAGAGAGATACCAATTAGTATTCCAAGCATACAAACGGATGAACAAAATGAGTAAGAAAAGACCTGTAAGAGTTATAAATGCAAACAAAACTGAGACTTTGCAGTATATGTGAGACTCCGTTTTGAGACCAAAGCTGCTCTTGTCATCAAAGTCCCATGTTTCTCTTGCGGTCCTCATTCTGTCAGTCAAGGTTAGCATTTTCAAAATCCAGATGGTTTGCTTCCCAGTTTGTGGCCACACGGCAACATGAGCGCAGCCGTTGTCTCCTCTGTGCAATGCAATACCTCTCGCTCTGGGCACAGCAGACATGCTGCCGAACAGATTTTAGGTCAGGATGAGCCGTATTACCATAATTGTAGGGTTGGACTCAATTGTGAGCAAGCAAAATGAAACAATTAGCCGGCTTGGATATCACACCAGCATGCCAGAATTAGCATGCCTCTTGTAAGTCAGGGATAATGGTCATGTTCAAAAACCATCATCAAAAAAGGGGGGAATGAGGGGCGGTTGCCTGATTTTTGATAATTGAGTCACTGTGCCAAATCCGGCAGTGTTCAGAGAAAGAACAGGCCAAAGGCGATGCTGCACCGTTCATACAATTAGTAGTTGCTTTAACAGAAGACACATTATCAAAACAAGATAACTATTGAGATCCTCCATCAAAAAAGGGGATATAATATGGGTTGCTGTGAGTTTCCCAGGCTGTCCAACCACGTTCCAGAAGCATTCTCTCCTGACGTTTCACCAACATCTATGGCAGGCAACCTCAGAGGTTCTGAGGTCTGTTGGAAACTAGGCAAGTGTTGTTTATATATCTGTGGAAGGTCCAGAGTGGGAGAAATAACTTTTATCTGCTTGAATCAAGTGTGAATATTGCAATTGACCACTTTGATTAGCATTTAATGGCCTTGTATCTTCAAAGTATGGCTGATTGCTGCCTGGGGGAATAATATGTTGGACATAGCAACCTTCTACAATCCTCCTATACTAGTTACTTGTCTGGAGTTTTGAGAACATTGTTTTCTGAATGTGAATTTGCCTGCACATGGCCCTCTATCCCAGTGTTTCTCAACCTGAGGTTTGCGACCCTTGGGATGATCACGTGGAGTCACCAAAGACCATCAAAAAAACATATATTCCTGATGGTCTTAGGAACCCCTTTGGCAGAGAAAGCTGAAGATCTCTCCACCTGTCCTTCTCTTCCTTTTTGGAAACAGAGGGCGAATCCTCCCACCAAAAGCCCTCCTCCGCTGTGATTGGCCAGCCTCTCAGCCAAGGGGAGGGCTGTTTCTGAGACTCCAAGTGGGGAGGGAGAGCAGGCATGCTTGGCGCATGGCAGCATGGTGCGCATGTGCAGGAAGGGAGAGCATGCGAGGATAGAGGGAGGCTCACACCAGCGAGTTTTCAAGGCAAGGGGTTCTGTGGGGGAAGTTTGGCCCAATTCTATCATTGGTGGGGTTCAGAATGCTCTTTGATTGTAGGTGAACTATAAATCCCAGCAACTACAACTCCCAAATGTCAAGGTAGATTTTCCCCAAACTCCACTTTGTTCACATTTGGACATATTGAGCATTTATGCCAAGTTTGGTCCAGATCCATCATTGTTGGAGTCCACAGTGCTCTCTGGATGTAGGTGAACTACAACTCCAAAACTCAAGGTCAATGCCCACCAAACCCTTCCAGTAGTATTTTCATGAGAGTTCTGTGTGCCAAATTTGGTTCAATTCCATCATTGGTGGAGTTCAGAATGCTCTTTGATTGTAGGTGAACTATAAATCCCAGCAACTACAACTCCCAAATGACAAAATCAATCCCTCCCAGCCCCACCAGTATTCAAATTTGGGTGTATTGGGTATTTGTGCCAAATTTGGTCCAGTGAATTAAAATACATCCAACATATCAGATATTTACATGATGATTCATAATGGTGGCAAAATGACAGTTATGAAGTAGCAACGAAAATAATGTTATGGTTGGGGTTCACCACAACATGAGGAACTGTATTAAGGGGACACGGCATTAGGAAGGTTGAGAACCACTGCTCTATCCTCAACCACATTCAGAACCATGACTTCCTTGAGACACTCCATCTGCAATGGGTCTTTTCAGTTTTCTTTTCTCTTTCTCTTTTCCTGTTACTTCCCACATTATCAAGCTTTATGTCTCTTCTAGCGACATTTTCTGACAATTTTCTGACAATTCGGCCAATTGTTTTCTGACAATTTGGCTAAAGTATGGCAGCCTCAGTTTGACCATATTGGTTTCTAAGGAGAGTTCAGGCTTGATGTTTTCTAGGATCCATTTATTGGCCTTTTTAGCCATCAATTGTATCTGCATCATATAGCAAATGAGTTGGTTTTTTTCCTATCAGCTTTGTGCACCATCCAGCTTTTGTAACCATACATAGAAATGGGGAATATGAGGGCATGGGCCCATTCGCTGTTCATAGGAACTGTGGTTTCATAAAGCCATTCTCGTGTTCTTTTTTCAGGTGATGGTGGGTATGCCAAAGATGCAAAGCTGAAAGCTCCCTCTTCCCTTGCTGTGTCTCCGGACGGCACCTTGTACATCGCTGACCTTGGTAACATCCGTATCCGTGCTGTCAGTAGGAATAAGGCTCATCTCAGCGACATGAATATTTATGAGATTGCCTCCCCAGCGGACCAAGAACTATATCAGTTCACCAGCAACGGGACTCATCTGCACACTCTCAACCTCATCACGAGGGACTTTATATTCAACTTCACCTACAACGGGGAAGGCGATCTCACCACTGTTACGAACAGCAATGGGAACTCGGTCCACATCCGCAGAGATGCCAGCGGTTTGCCTCTCTGGCTGTTGGTACCTGGTGGCCAGGTGTACTGGCTGACCATAAGCAGCAATGGGATTCTCAAAAGAGTGTATACCCAAGGCTACAACTTAGCTCTCATGACCTATCCTGGCACCACGGGTCTTCTGGCAACCAAAAGTAATGAGTATGGATGGACAACAGTTTACGAGTAAGTGTCTTTCAACCTCTATACAGTATAACTTATGTATCCAAAGTTTAATTTCCTCATGCCTAACAAAATATGTCACCTCTAAGCATTTTCTAGGTCCTCCAGTGCCACTCTATGGCAGTTAAAGTGGAATAATTATGCTACAGCAGCATAGTGTGATAAGGTCCCCATGGGAGATGGGATTCCAAACTTTTGCTTCTGTAATTTGTGAGCATTTCCTTATCCAGCCTCTATCTTTCTCCAGCATATAACCTTGGGGCAAAAATGTACTGCATCCCTAATCCTAGCAGGGAACCTAAAAAAACATTTAGTTTTATCCGACTCCTGGGGGTGGTGCTCATCTCCATTCTTGGCTGAAGAGCCGGCGTTGTCCGTAGACGCCTCCAAGGTCATGTGGCCAGCATGATTGCATGGAGTGCCATTACCTTCCCACTGGAGTGGTACCTATTGATCTACTCACATTTGCATGTTTTCAAACTGCTAGATTTGCGGAAACTGGGGCTAACAGTGGGAGCTCACCCTACTCCTCGTATTCAAACAGCCGATCTTTCAGTCAGCAAGTTCAGCAACTCAGCAGTTTAACCTGCTGCACCACCGGGGGCTCCAGGAAACCCCAAAAGCTCCCTAAAGAGCCATGATCGGTCCATCAGAAAGCACTGAGCTAAATGAGCCCAGATCCCACAAAAAGGTTATTGTGTTTCTTCAGTCTCATGCACCCACCTTTGTTTGAGGTCTTTAAATATAGTTCAAAGATCCATGGAAATCCATATGTACTACATCATTAATGGCAGGTAATTCAGCCATTGATATATTTGGGTTATGGGACAACAAGATCTTTTTCATATTGCCGCCTTATTGCACTATGACTCTCCTTTAACCTCCATGGCTCCATCCATCAGAATCCTGAGGTTTATAATGCTGGGATTGTTGGAAATAGCAATCTTCTCAAACCTCCACTAGTTATTTGTTATGTATATAATTGATTACTGTATTATATATGTGTATATTGGTTTGCAGTTTTCTTTAAGCTCTTTGTTGTGGGAGTGGCTGCAGACCATGTGATCAGAACTGGGCTTGTTCAGGACTCAGACTCCATTTTCGAACAGTTTGCTTTAGACTTCAGTGGAGATGAATGCCTTTAGACTTCAATAACAGCAGTGTTTGCTTTCAGACTTAAGTCAGTGTTCCATTTAGAGACTTCAGTAGAGACAGATGCATGCTTTTAGAAGTTAATTGAAACAGACTAAACAGAGACTCTATTAGACTCTCAGAACAGGGAAATGCTTTGGGCCAGGCATGGGCAAACGTGGGCCCTCCAGGTGTTTTGGACTTCAACTCTCACAATTCCTAACAGTCTCAGGCCCCTTCCTTTTCCCCCTCAGCCGCTTAAGCTGAGGCCATTTGGAATTGTGAGAGTTGTAGTCCAAAATGCCTGAAGGGCCCAAGTTTGCCCATGTCTGCTTTAGATTATAGACTATTGATTCTAAGAATGAAGCCCTACATAGGGAAACTACTTAAAATCCTATTGTAACTGGATTGATATGCCAAGTGCCTGTATGCTGAATATATGAAGTTTGTGAGTAAACCAACACTGTTCCTTTTAAAGAAGACTGTTTATTTTGTCTCTTGAGAGCATGATTTAAAGGCAAATATATTTCAAGAGAGAGTAGATGTTTTTGGGGCAACTAAAAAGGACACAATTATTAAAACTAAAAAATTAAAAATTAAAAAGACAATTATGCTGGGGGAAATGGAAGGAAAAAGGAAGAGGGGCAAGATGGATGGATGGCATCCTTGAAGTGACTGGATTGACCTTGAAGGAGCTGGGGGTGGTGATGGCTGACAGGGAGCTCTGGCATGGACTCACGAAGAGTCGGAAACAACTGAACGAATGAACAACAAGAAAAAACACTTCTGAAACTCTGCTGAATATGTGTGTGTGTGTGTGTGCGTGTGTGTGTGTGTGTGTTTGGCATTGGCATATCTTTGTCCCTAACAGTTCAAAGACATACCTAAGTACATCAGTTTAACAACTGAGAAACCTAGTTGCCTTTCATGAATGCTTGTAAGTGCCATTTTCCCAAAGGGTTATGACTCTTAACAGGTCATGCTTTTTTACCAAGAGGGTATGGCATCATTTTTCAAAAAAAATATTATGACTTCTAACAACTTCTAAAGATCATAAAATCTCCAAAAAACGTTCTAGAGATTTCCATTTTCCAAAAGGTTGTGTGACCAGTGGTTTTCCAAAAGGGATATGTTTAGAATTTCCTACCAAAAAGCTGTAGCACCTTGCCAAACTACAAATCCCAGTTACAGTGGAGTCACA